TCTCTCCTTGTCACCTGATGACGATTCGAAACCTTTCGGGGGCGCGGGAGAGGTCAAAATCGACGTTTAATTCGATCTCCAACCGGAGATGGTCGACGGACTTACATTCTTCTATTGTTTAAAAGTTGAGTAGCGTTTTCATATAAAAAATCTATTTCTAACTACTATATTTTTTCTTTAAAAAAATTATTTTAACGCGAATTTTAGTGAGGGTTCGGACCTGTTTAGAGCCTCATAATTGTAATTGGCCAATTCTCGTGTTGTAAATTTTATTTTTACTGTTTTTCCCTCCTTTTATTAAACTGAAAGTAAATTCTATATCTTGAGATTTTACTTATTACCTTATCCTTACTTATTCTTATCCATATAACTTTTATACAGCGCAGAAGGCTATTATTTGTACTTTCCCGACTCTGTTATATATAACACAGGTAAAGTATGGCGATCATTCAAAAGTAACCTTCAAGATTTTTATATTTTTGGAACCAGGGAACCTTGAAACGTCGAGAAATGCGAAAAAAATTCGGGTTTTTTTTGTGTGTGTGCGTGTGTCACAATTTTGTTCACCTTTTCAGAAGCTTAACAACTATGTTTTTGTCGAAAATTTATAAAATTTTGTATGGAAATTTATGTATCAAGAGGATTGATGCTATGAAATTCTGGTGATTAAAGTTCAACAGGGTTATCGTGTGTCATGTCTCGAATAGGGTCGTACTTATTCACGATTTTACTCATATTAGCATTTACAATTTTTTATAAATCCATCCCTACCCTCACAGTTAAGCTTTTTGCCATTTTAATATAATTAAAAATATAAAAGGTTTTTTAAATAAAATATCATAATAGATGACGCCACACACAGTTGTAAATGTTACCAGCAAAGTTAAGCAACTTGTTACTGCATTTATTAAAATTTGTTTTAATAACATGATCTAGATTTATCATATTTGATAGATCGTCGGAGAGTTTTACGTTTTTACTTTATGTTAGTCCGGTATTCAAAAATATCAAAAATATTTAGTACATTGATTACTGTAACTTCAATGGTGTAACAAGAATCTATATTGGGAAGACCTGAGTTAGAAGGTACAAACCTATCTTCACTGTGGATGTAGCCACTAGCGCTGTGGATGATGAATAATATCAGATAATGTATATACATGTGTATAAGTATGTTTGTCACATTTAAATACTGTACTTTTAAGATTTTTCTTAATTTTTTAAAAAGTTTAAGGGCTCAAGTCCCGGGACCCTCCCTGTGTAACACTCTAAAACATTACAGTGTTAATTACATTACGGTGTTAATTTTCTTAACCTGAGAATAAAGAGAAGGAAAGCTGCTAAAAGTCTTTGGATTTTAGACATTCATAAATTCATTGAACATATAGGCCGAGGCGGAAGACTTTTTTAAGTGTGCATGCCAAAACTGCCAAATCTATTATGAAAATTTTCTCATCTGCCAACCAAAATTTTCAGAAGCAATTATTATTTGATGTCTTTTTAGTATCGAGAGAACTTTTTCAAATAATCAAAAATCCACATTTAAACACATTTTAGAAATTCCAAAAATACATAAAAGGATGGAAAAAATCACTCCACATCTGGCTGCGTAATGAATTATGCAACAACTTGTTTTAGAAATAGATTTTTGTTTCACTTTCTTATTATTATTACTCAAACAATTGAGGTTTGTTTCTTTACTGGATTTTTATTTAGTATCATTCTAGATACTAAATAAAAATGCAGTAAAGAAACAAACATCAACATAGAGTTCGTCGCGGGATGATACGAACATGAAGGCTTGTTTTGACTCAATAAAATTGCATTCTATTAAGTTAAAATATATAACTCAGCGAAGATATTGAATATTTAGTTTTTAAGGCAAGCTCTGAGTTGCGTGCCGAAAAAAAAAATCATTGGCGTGTCAAGGGTGGCCCATTCTTGAAATAGTGTTTAACTAATGGAAAGTTTTTTGCTTAAATTAGATTTTTCGCAAAATTTCCCAGTAATGTTACCTCCTACAAAGACATCAATAGTCAAACCAACATTTGCTTTGGATCAGATATTATTTACAATATAGCACTGTGTTCTATTTAAGAATTCGGAAGTTGTAACAGGATTTGTTAAGTTACTAATTCTCTGAATGTATCCATTATATTCTTCCGATATTATTTTAATATATTCATTAACTAACCTACGTCATTGTACTCAAGCAATGATGTAATTTGTTCATAAATGCCATTCTACGCACGTGGTTTGGTGCACGTAAGTATAAAAAATAAAACACCGTACTCCGATGACATAATTATTTAAAACAAACACCGATCATCTTATAACAAAATAAATTTAGGTGTTAAGAATAAAAATAATGTAGAATTTACAATGCAAATAGCTATACACATCAAAGATGCACCCACTCCATCAAAACTTGTAATGTCACTCTGAAAGATTTTCATTGGCTACTAGGCGCCATCCCTCTCCTTTCACCGATTTTAATTAACATTTAAAAGTTGTTTAAATGTGCCAGTGTTCCGTATATAACCGCACGTGGTCAAAATGAGCCGACGAATCATAGAGTTGATCGCGGGGGGATGATACGAACATAAAGGTTTGTTTTGACGCAGTGCATATTTAGATTAAACGAATGCTAGTAGGTTCACACGAATATAGTTATAGTTTATATTGACAATCATTTAAGCTTTAGAGTTTATCATCTTAAGATAGTAAAATCTCGTACCACGTTTCGAAAATTCATTAATATATTTTAAAATATAAGATATACACTGAATATGTTTATTTTTCCCACTTTATCACGTAACAATAATTATTTAATAACGTAAGAATTATATACTTTTATATTTTATCACACACACACGTATANATGATACGAACATGAAGGTTTGTTTTGACGCAGTGCATATTTAGATTAAACGAATGCTAGTAGGTTCACACACGAAGATAAGACTGTCCACAGCTGGACACCGGATACTCAGCTGAAGATAGTCAAAAAGAATCATGTTATCCTGTACCCGACATGCTGAGGAGTACAGAATTCATTGCAGATAATATACTAGAAGAGAATGTACAGCTGTACTCCATAGTGGGCGCAACAATCGGAATTGAAACCAATGTAGTAGGCTGCTAGTAGGAAGTGTGTGAAAATAAAAGATGGACAAAACATCCGGCATCGGATTGGTTTGAATTAGGCTTAATCGATTATGATATTAAATTATGCTTCCGGTATGGATTGTTATCCTAACTAACTTTCAATAAATTTAAATTCTCCCGCCTTTTCAAAGAGATTTAAATTTCCGCAGAGAAACATGCTACATGGTGCACATTAATCGGTTTATCATAGACCTGTAACTGCATCTTTTGAGGTTATATTTGATTTTGTATCCTGCAGTCATATTCCGTCCCACCTTTACATTTAGCTTTTTCTATGTTATTATAGGCATAGCTTCAATTTTCGGCCTGGTGGACGTATAGAACATTTATTTTTAGGTAAAAAAAAATAAAGATAATACGTTGCATCCTGTTTATTTACGTTATCTTTCTAAAGGCGCATCCACACTTTCGCTATTCGCCGAATGTATGAATGGTTTACTCGTGACGAATATTCGGCATTCGCCGTTTCACGATTCTTGTCGGTAAATTGGGCCAAATTGAAGAACCTGAATATTCGTGTTGTCTGGCCACACTGCTAGGGGAAAGTATCGGAATCATGTCAATTTTTTTCAAATTTTTCAAAAGATTTTTACGCTTCCGAGACATTTTGAGACTCCCTGAATCCAAAAAAGACCAGGAAAAAAACTCCGTGAATATGTTAGTGTGTGTTAGCCTCTATTTCGTTTAATTAATATCTCAGGATGGAGTGAAGATTAAGAACAAAATTTGGATTTGGAAGCTTGTGTATATCTTATATAAAGGAGCATTGATGTCATTAAATTTTGGTTATGGAAAGTCGAGGGGATGAAGAGATAGAGTGGTCAAGTGTTATATCTTGCGTGAGGTCGGACTTAATGATTTTACTTGTTAGCATTTATAGTTTTCTTCTTTTTAAAATTAAAACTCATCTCTATTCTCAAAATTAAGTCTCTCATCATTTTATAATACATAATTCAAAATATAGAATGTTTTTATAACAAAATTTTATAAATNAGTTAAACCGATTTTATTAAAGGAATTAGTTTGCATTTAAATATAATTTAATTATTCTAAACTCTAGTTGATTTAATTAAATTTAATTACTCTAGGATTAATTTAATTTAACAAAAAAAACGAAAAAGTTGTATTGATGTTAGTTGCTTTTTTATCAACAAAAGTAATTTTTTACGATGGAAATTTCTAAATGAAAATTATTTTAATAAACAGAAAGATAATAACATCTCATTTGAAACTGAATAAAGACACTTATTCAAAGTTGAATTAAATTTCATTTATATGTTTTCTTGTCATAACTAATAATGAGATATAGTATACTTTTTACGTTATTTAATATGAAATACAGAAGTGGTTCTCAAAGTTATCGATCCGCAGACCACTTAAAGCCCAGTCATACGAACCACGGACCACCTATTTTTTATCCTGTGGTCGAGTAGATAAAACTACTGATCGTGGGTTCTCACCCGACGGGCTGGTCGAGTGAGTTTTCAGAGTTTTCTTCACATGTCTAATCCTTAAATAGTGATCACTTTCATATAGAAAGTCCTTCGGGAGACAACCCTTGGAAGATGCCCATGTGTTGCGTTGCTTCTATCCTACCAAACCATACCAAACCAAACTTTTATCCTGTAAATATCAATTTAGGTACTGGCCAAAATATTTGTCTATCGGGTAATCTAACGTAAGAGATATGTGATGCGTGAAAATATTGTTTTCTCTGGCTAAAAAGCATGGAATTATATTTCGGAAAAATGGCTAGATCAGTCTGCGGATCACCGGTGATCCACGGACCTCGAGAACCACTGAAATACACCGTAATAAATTATATAATTAAGCTGAGTTTTTTCTTGAACGTATTTTCGTGATAATTATTAAAATGTTTACATTTTATTAAGTAGCCACGGAAATGTTGCTTTCATAATTTAGATTATAAGTAATTGTAAAGTTTTCTGTATAAATTTCAGTGTTAACAGAATGTTTGTTTGTAGGTTGTCAACTTTATGGATTCGTAGGTGGTCTTTCGGGAACGTGCGCCATTTTAACTATCTCTGCCATGGCTTTCGAAAGATACAACACCATATCTAATCCATTAGATGTCAATGTAAAAATGAGCAAATCTAAAGCTTACAAGACTGTTATTTTCATCTGGATTTATGCTTTAAATTTTTCTATTCCTCCTCTCTTCGGCTTGAATCGATATGTACCCGAAGGTTACTTAACCAGCTGTTCTTTTGATTATCTGGACGAAAGATGGCTTCCTCGAGGATTCGTTTTGGTTTTCTTTGTGGCGGCTTGGTGCATTCCTCTAGTGATCATATGCTGGTGTTATTTAGGAATCTTAATAAAAGTTAGGAATCACGAAAAGAACTTCACTCTACAAGAACGTCGAATGACCATTAGAAAAAAAGTAGTCAAGAAATATTCCACGGAAATTCGATTAGCTAAAATAGCATTTGGACTAATTTCGCTTTGGTTCGTGGCTTGGACGCCTTATGCCATCGTAGCGCTTATAGGTGCATTCTTTGACAGAAAGCTACTCACTCCTTTGTCATCTATGATTCCCGCCTTATTTTGTAAATCTGCATCGGTTGTTGACCCTTTTATTTACGGTTTGACACATCCAAAATTTAAAATTGAGATAAAGCGCCTTGTAAAACCTTGTGGTAGAAAAAACAAAGACGAAATGGTTAGATCCAGTACCATGTTTAGATCTACGAAATCCATACAATCTATTTCTTCAGAGAATATCGAGATGGAATTCTTTCCCGAAAGCATTGTAGCAGACTCCAACGAATGCATTTTGTCGGAAATTAAAGCTGAAGCCAGTGCTGAAGTTAGTGTTTATACTATTCCGGTAGTTGACGATGTTGTCACTCGGGGAGAAGAAGTTAAAACAAGATACAGAAGATCAATTTAAGTGATCGATCGCGAATTAGTGAGAAACACTTTTGTTGGGAAGAATTGTAGCATATCTTACCTGCAGCGGCTGTTAAACTTAGTATGATTTGAAATTCAAAGTGAAAATAATTCATGAAAATGCATGAATATAGTTATAGTTTATATTGACAATCATTTAAGCTTTAGAGTTTATCATCTTAATATAGTAAAATCTCGTACCACGTTTCGAAAATTCATTAATATATTTTAAAATATAAGATATACACTGAATATGTTTATTTTTCCCACTTTATCACGTAACAATAATTATTTAATAACGTAAGAATTATATACTTTTATATTTTATCACACACACACGTATATGTACTTTTTTAGAATGAAAATTTTCTAGAAAATGTAATTATATTAGAATTCAAAATAAATATCTTCACCGAAAAAAGTTTTATATACTTTATAACAAAATCATTACTTCTTATTTACAACTGCATGTAATTTTTACATAAAACTATTTAAGTTTGAAAATTGTCTCTACAAAAACAGCGTTATTTTGATTTCCCCTGATTTAACAAGAACTTGGCAATTGACAACCTTAATCTGCTTAGTGATTGGTATGAGATTACGTGATTTATGTGATTACATTTAAATGTTTTATATTAACGATACATGGATTTTATTACGATCTCTAAACATTTTTGTTTCCGAAAACTTCGTGTCTTTAAAATATTCGCTAGAATAAGCGAAGAAATTTATAAAATTTTGGTATGTTAGCAGGACTAATCGAGAACATTCAGTATCTACACATTCTGCCATATTATCTACAGTTTATAACACCACCTTGCACTAATTTCATATATTCCACCATCAGAGCTTGCGCTAAGAAAGTGAGCATCCAGGGGAAGATGGAGCCTCAGAATCGGAACCAAGTGTAATAATATGTAACAAAACTTAAGCTCCATAAAAGGCAATAACATTTTGATTACGTATCATCTATTTAACTCGATTTCCTATTTTTTTAAATGAAAAAGCCGTTGTTAACTTTAGTGTGAAGATTTGTCCGGTTTCAGTTGATGTCAATTAGTAATTAAAAGTTAGTGTTTGATCCTTCTAGGCGATTAGACAATACTGTATATATATATATTTTTTAAAATCAAAGTTTAATGTATTGTTTCCTTTAGCTTATTTACATTTTTCTGCTCTGTTATACTAAACAGTGATATCGTCTTTCTCTACGTTCGCTTTCGACCTGCTATTGTGAATGAGTGTTTATTTCTCTAAGCTATCATAACATTAATTTTTATCTATACTTTCTGCTTGGAAGTTATAACAGCTGACACGTCAAAGTTTTATATTCTCATTTTATGTATAATTAAATTTTACTGTCAAGAACGCATTTATATTATCAATATCTTAAATTCATAATAACGAGAAAACGAATTTGAAAAGCGAATAAATTTACACTAGCACTTGTAAACAAAGCTCGACTGAAGTCATCGAAATCTCTTACATAATATTGTTTGAAATGATTTAAAGCAGGTGTGTCAAACTCATTTAAACAATGGGCCATTAATGCGACTGGTAAGATTCACGAGGGCCACATCACATTTACAAATTTTCTAAAACTTATAATTTGAAGTGAGAATGCAGGAATATAGATAGGGCAATTAAAACACATTATGTAGTTTAGTGAATTCAACTCAACAATATATAATTGCTATAGTATTGCTTTTATTTAAAAAATTTATTTTATTTAATGTACATACAGTATTTATAAAACTGAAATTAATTGTTTTCACTGGAAACTCGCCAGCGCTATCTTCCTCCTCCTCCTTTTCCAACATTGGAATCAAAGATTGAGAACAATTTTCATCATGGCAGATAGATGTTTATCAGTTAATCTTGATCTGTAAGCCGTTTTATTTAATTTCAGAGCATCGTGGCCAGGGACCACGAAAAATCACATCGGAAGCCGCCAGTTTGACATCTCTGATTTAAAGTATACGGGAGAATGTGCGCAGGTTATAAATACTATGCCATTTTATATAAAACTTGAGCATACCCGGATTTTGGTATCAGTTGTGCCTCCGGATACTACTTATATATTATTTGATAAGCCTCAAATATTGTCCAGCTACGTTTGAGAGAAGAGCTGAGGGCACAAACATTGTTTAGGTATCAAAATAAATCTCTTGCCCTGTAGATGAGTCCTTTGCAATTATAAATGAAAAATTCACCACCGTTCGGGCGTGGAGGAGTGGCAATGGTATAATGTTAAGTCTATGTCCGGCGCTCGCGCGCTATCTGGCCATTTAGTATTTTTTTAAAACCGTCAGAACAATCCGTTACTCACCCCTATTCTGAATTCCTGCTTCTTTTGCTAATTACACGATAATTAAAAGACTTTTTGCATTATTTTTTTAACACGACTAAAGTATTTTAATTTTTTAGAATCCGTAATAAAATAGTATGTATTAGTAAAATAGACGCATGTACTGTATTTTTCAACTCTAAATAATACAAGTTTTTCAAAATAAATTAGTTTTGACAATATTGCACGTCAAATCTTGTTTTTATTTTATGATTACTCCATGATGAGACCAAAACGTGATTTAACCCCACGTTTGTTCCTCTGTTGCAACATAAATGGAAAGTCCTTCAATAAGAGATCGATCTAGCACATCAAAAACTATAGTAACACCTGAAGAGATTTGTCCGTTGCCAAAAGCTGAAAAGGCCAAAGAAACAGAAAGGTTTGTGGATGTAGCATACTATACTTTGACAACCCTACATAACATTTGTAAAGATATTTCACTGATCTTTCACTGTTTTTGAATTTTAAGGATAGTCCAGAATTTTCAAGGACACCGATGAAGAGACAACTCGAAGAAGAAACTCAAGCTTTTGGTAAGAAGAAAGCTAAGTCTAATGTGCCAGTGAAACACAAAGAATAGGAACGCTCGACATTAGGCTTGTTCTAGTATGCGAATCAAGCGAAAAGCCAATGTTTGAAATAGATATCCCCTACAAAGATGATTCGTCTTTGAATCTCATCGATGATGATGACAATTATGATGAAAATGCAAGTAGCCTCTCCGATTACGAATAGAATGTGGATAACTTTATCCTGACAAAGCTTTCTGGAAAAACTAAGAACAACACACGACATTTTGTTGCGAAAATAATGACTGCATATTTAGACGATGATTTCAATGTCAAATGGTTGAAGACTAACAAATTTCAATTTTCAGATGAAAAAGAGGCAAATGTAAGCAAGCTTGACATTGTTTTAAAGCTACCTTGTCCATTTTACCATAGTGAACGTGGTCATTTTTCTAAAAGTTAAGCTTTTGAATTTCCTGTTTATGGAGTTATTTAACGTAGCATTTCATATGTATCCACTGTCGGGGTTAACTGGGCCACTTGATATGTTAACAATAATATCTTTTTACACACTTTGTTTTATGCACATGCAGACATAACTGTTTTTTTCTTATTTACCCGTAAGCCCGTAACATAGCATAAAGAAAATAAAAGTTTCTACATCGTAAAACATATTAAAAAACATTGAAAATTACAGGTCTACAATTTTTTCAAATTGCAGCCCAAAGATTGTACTCAGTTAATCCAGCTCTCCTGTATAGATAGTAAGGTATTGATACTCGATCACTAAGTAGTTATTACTCGAATCAAGTAACGTATTTAGAATTTCTATTCAGTTGATGTTAGCATAAGTTTGTGTTTTATGTTTATTTATACAGTGAGTTTTTGTTATTTTTATTTTGTTTGAATAGTTGCTTCAAAGCTGATCAAGTTAATGAGGTTTCATATATAGGCTAAAAGTATATTTTTAGCTCGTACTATAAAATTACATTAAATAATAACTTTTTGTTTGGGATTTTTCGTTTGTTTGCAGAATCCATTACGTAATTTATTGCCGTAATCCTCACAATTAACTACTGAACGAGTACAAAATAAATATGAGTTATAATACAATATACTGTACAGTAATATTTTTCTGTTTGAATTGCCAAATGGAAGGAGTTTGGAGAACATCCAAAACCTCAGTGTACATGACTTTATCGGTAAGAATTATAAGTTTCTAGTCGCTTTTCTATAATCATTCAATTGGTTGAAATCGTGGCAAATATAAAATAAAAAACAAGTTCAATACTTTCGAATAAAATACTTGACTAATAGAGTTCGTCGATTATGCTAATTTTGGCTAGTTACAATCCGATAATAAGCCTGACATGGCGCTTGTTAGTTGCAACACTGTAAAATTCTCAACTCTGTTGCATAAAAGTGTTAGCAAGAGAATACGTCAACATCACAGCGAAGCCCACACAGTTGAAACTCCACCCACCCACCTATCCGTCTAATTCATCGAACTACTAATAAGAACACGGCTTCCATAAACGGAAATGATTTCATACAGTGAAATATCGTTGCAAATAAAACATATTCCAACATTTTAATAAACAATATTCAAATTTTAACAAATGTCATAGATAATTTTGCACTGTTATCAATTTCTGCAATGATTTCTTATTACAATTTAAAAACGAAATCAAATTCTCTAACAATCAGTATACGTGTGTGTACAGCCAAATATAAGCCTAATCCATTACACTCATTAATGACTAATTTAAAAAAAAAAACAAAAATAACTGTTATCGTTCTATATATTTAATAATTATTAATAGTTTCGATATCAATTATCGTCATTTCTAATTGCTAATAAATTCGTTTGACAGATTATAAATTATCACTGAGTTAGAATTATTTATTATGCCATAACGTAACGTGAAAAACATTTCAGTAATGCAAATAAAATTGTTTTTTTAATGCAATAACTGAACACATATTTTTATATCCTTTTTTATTAACTTCAGTTGTCTGTTTGTCCGTCCGTCCAAATAAATTAACTCGATTTTCACCCAATTTCAGATTTAGAAAAGAAACACTTTTTATTCATATAAATACAATAAAAGGTAATAAAAAATATATTTTTCATCTTTTACAGTATTTTTGGTGTTATGTATTATGCAACCAAAAATAAAAGCGTGGGGCGTTCATGTTTAGAAATATTCTTATAAATAATTAAAGTTTAAAAACCTCTATCAAAATCATTATTTGTATACTTAAGATATTAAATATTGCCTTGATTGAATGAAAAGTAATGAAATTAAACACTTTCATTAATTTATCTGTAATATTTGTATATGGCTTTATTTAGTCATAATAAATAAAAAGCCAAAAGTCCCCAGCATTCTGCTGTACGCTTAATGT